ATGGATGAATGGCTCCCGGAAGAAGACAGCGGCTTGCCTGTCGGCGAGCTCATGGGCTTATCGGGTGTCACTTGATTTAAACAACGAGCCCGCGATTTCACGTTAGCTTCTTTTGAGTCACGATCCTATGTTGTGCCATGGCATCAATCAAAGCAACACCTAGGCCAATGTGGACGAACAGCTGCCCCCTGACTTGGACTCCCACGATGAGGATTTGGGGTCCCCGGAGGAGTTGCCGTCGTCGGACGATGGGATGGCGATAGCGGCAGCCTGCTGCAAGAAGAACTGCATGACAGTTTTTCGGCGCCGAGATCTCTCAGTACGACATGCACTTTTCAAGTCGGAGCTGGATGCTTTGTCAGACAATGACCGGCAAGTTATGCTGTTCGATCTACTGAAGAAGGTCTTCCAGGAGCCTCTGTCATGCTGAGAGAGAACAACTCATGTATGCAAGAATAGCTCGCTGCTACTAGGCTCACTCACAATCAAAGAAACCAAGCTTGCGATGTAGGAGGGCGGCAACGACTCCGAGCAGCCGGTCAAGTGGCAGTTGCTAGGAGTTCCTGTCTGCTTCGGTGCATTCAAGAGTTTGGTGGGAGTGTCTGCACCACTCATCCAGAAGATGATGCCACTCGTCTTTGCTTGCAGACATATGCTTGACAACTTGTCCTTATGTCGCGAGCTCTATCGTTTCATTTTCACAGCAACCTAGGTCTGCCGTGAAGCAAGGCCATCGCGACCCTCCCGTAGACGGACGAAAGGAAAGGCAGCTGAGAGAGCGGCCGGCGGCTACCAGAGCTGCTGCCTTTTTCCAATGGGTCTATGATAACCTGGGGGAGCCGTTGGCCGAGGTTAAGTCGCTGCCTGAAACCATTTGTCAATCATAATGGTAGCGAAGGTTGGGGCTGCAGAGCCTCGTTCTCTAGGCATCTTTATGCTTGTGGCCCAGGTGCCGGGATGAGGCTACAGCCCACGACGACGAGGATGATGCTGAGCTCCCCATCATGCAGGACTCTGCGGTTGGACCGGTTGGCAGTGCAGTTGTGGGCAACAAGCAGAAGGAAATCAGGCAAGGCTAGCTTCAGTCTCAATCCTTGTTGTGGTTCATTCATAAATTTGCCTGTGAACGATTGGGCTGATTTCGGAGGTGGATACACCCGACAACCATTGCCGAGCTTTACGACCTTCACAAGCAGACGTGCAGCGACGGTACCGGGCCAGTCTCTGACAGCATCTTCAGGCAGGAGTGGAAACGATGGACCTGCTGCTTGAAGATCCGAGCCCAGGGGCAACACTCACGGTGTGTCACTTGCTTCTGTGCTCAATTTGGTCTTGTGTCCATGCAAGTCCATGATTCACTGCAGTGGGTCGTCATGTTGCTCCGTCTAGATTGATTTTAGCAGCATCGAGACTCGAGGCTCCCGGCTATCCAAGTGGCGAGAACTTGCAAAGACAGAGGAGGAGAAGGTCGCTACCCAAAATGCCAAGCGGGAGCACTTGATCGGGGTCTTCGCTGACAGGGCATTGGGCAGACGTCTCATGGTCAGCTGCGAGTGCTCCTCAGAGCCGTCCCTGAACCCAGATCCCATGACTGGGATCCTCTATCTTCAGGTAGATGGCATGGATCAGGTCACTTAGCATGCAAACCTTTGTGAGCTATGATGCGAGACGGTGAGTGCTTTGCCTTTTGTTTGCAGACCCATGATCCCAGGCGAAGTTCAAGCTGCCAAGAATGGCATCGACGAACTCCAAAGAGTTCGCCCACGTGTACCGCCCGGCCCTCCATATGATCGGGGCCCTGATTCCTGGCGTGGCGGAAATCTATTTCTTGACTGAAGCTGATGTCAAGAAAGATACTTCGACCACATTGACCTGTGTTTGTATGGCACCGAGGAACAGCACAGGTGTGCTCATTCTTGACATCACATAGACGCCTTGTGATTTCTCTCTCTCTTTAGCCACGAACGATTGGGTGACATGTGACCTAGGCAGAGCCCTCCAGATCGCGGAGGAAGTCCTCAAGCGAAGAGGGCTGCAGATGCCCTCGCACTTCACATTACAGTGCGACAACACCTGCAGAGAGAATCGAAACAGCATCACTTTCAAGTTTGCATCCTGGCTGACCAGTCATTCCATTTACCGCACGGTGGACCTTCTCTACTACCGAGTCGGTCATACACATTGCGAGTTGGACCAGCGATTCTCCGTCTGCGGGAGTCACTTGGCTCGAAAGGAGAATCTCCAGACATTGGAGGACTCGTGCATTCGGCATGCAAGCGGTCATGTGCATGCTGTGCGAAGGGCCGATTATGTGTTTCAGCTGTTAACACCGACCCGGCAGGAGTTCCGTGATTGCCTGTTGGAGATTCAGCCTCCAGGCTCACGGGAGATCCATGCGGAGATCCTGATGCAGACCTGGGATTGGAAAAAGTTTCTGGAGCCGATGCCGGTGAAATACACTGGCCTCGTCATCACAGAGCAGGAGGAGTCGGTTTCCCATGGCTTCAGATTCCTTCAACGAAGCGACGTGAAGCAGTACAAGGGCTTTGCTACTAGGCAGCATATTCACTTCATAGGCGGGCCTTGCATCGTTTTCGAGGTTAGGTCAGATGAATTCTTCGTGTTTCCATGCCCCAGCAACAAGATGAAGAGATGCTGTAGGGTTCAGAGGCCAAGCTCTAGCTGATGAAATCCTCATGTTTCATATTCCAACATTCAGACTCGAGGACACCTGGAGATTGGATGAGATTCACACGGAGGAGGACTTCTCGTCGTAGCAAACTTTGATGATATCTTGCTTATCTCTAGACTCTACAGTTTTACATTTCCCATGTCCATCAGGAGAAGCAGTCGCCCTCCGATGTCGTGCTCCTGGTGAAGCAGTTCATGTCAGATAAGCACCTGACTCAGGCGCTTGTGGCACTCCCTGCTTCGGCAGCCTTGCCGCTGACAGGGCCCACTTCTTTCGCCGATCGAAATCCTTTGTCGGATAAGTTGCTGAGCGAGTATCGAAAGACGGCGAGTGCATTGGAGAGACCGCCATGGTCGTACGACAAGGCAGCTCGATACTTGCGAAGCTGGTGCGATCGCAATCAAACGGTGGGAAACGGCGACGGCGAGCCGCCTCAGATGTGCAGCTTCGTTCCGAAAACATGGGTGCGAGAGCAGCCCGATGACTTTCTGAACTTCGCCCCCTCGCCGCCGAAGCCTGTCAACATCGTCGGAGCCCCTCCTGGTGGTGGCAAGAAGCTCAAGAGGAAGAGGGGCGATTGCTCGGCAGCACAGGCCCCCACTAATTCTGCGAACTCCGCACCCGTGCCGGCGGATGCACCGGTGCCGGCGGATGCACCGGTGCCGGCGGATGCAGGGTCACAGGCAGCTCAAGGATCTCCGAGCCCAGCCGTCCCGAAGGCAGCTGCAAAGGCAACTGCCAAAGCGGCGGCCAAAGCTTCGGCACGTGTCCCCAAGGCCAAAGCGAAGGCGAAGGCTAAGGCGGCAAGTGTCCCTCGTCGTTGAAAGTTTTTTCTTCTAAATGTACCTTGGTATTTGTGAACTTTGCTGCTTTGTGTCGTTCCATGGGCCAGGATGTGAATTTGCTAATGACTGCTGGCACCTATCCGAGGCTCGCCCTGGACCGCGACCGCAAGTTCAGCAACAGCTTGGTTGCTCCAAGTGCCGGCACAGTGCTACAGGTTGTGGTCGATGCAGACCTCGATTCGAAGCATGGCAGCGGCAGCAGGGTGAAGTGTGAGCAAACGTGAGAGTTTTAACAGCCCATTGTCGCCTAGAGCTTTGTTGCACAGTCATGTTGTAATATAATACTAGTCCTTCATTTGATTTGGCAAGCAGTGGGCAGTCTGATCCTGGCCCACGGGAGGCTGGGTGCACTTCAGAGGGCTCTGTTGCCCTGGATTTTGGCTGGTGCTTCCTTTGCCACGTTCGTCTTAGTGGGTCTTACGGGCACTGGTGCCTGTCTCCGACAGCCGAAACCGTGTTGTGACAACATGCCAGTAGGATCAAAGGGAATGCTTTTCACGGCGGACTGAGACAGGTTTTCAGTGAGACTCTTCTGGAGGGAGACTCTTGATGACTGGCATTTGGCAGCTGGCCTCCGAGGCATTGACATGCGAGCGAGCAAGCACCGAAAAGAGAAAGCGCCCTTGAATATTCCCTGTCACCCCCAGGCAGAGGCAGGGGTCTTTAAACTTTGCGGTTTGGCCAACCCGATCCTGTTTTCTTTCGGCTAAGAGCAGAAGCAAGACTTGGTTTGCAGCGACAATTCGTTGATGGTTGCAGCTGCACGTGTGCATAGCATAGTTTGCTGCGATGTTGTCTGTTCAGGCCTCCAAGCATTGCTCTGCAGAGGCAGGCCCGGCTCTTGAATTTTGGTGCAAGCGAGAACTTGATGTGGGCTTTTCATGCGAGTTCGTTGCTGCTTGCAGCTGCTTGTGTGCATAGCATAGTTTCGGGTTGTAGGGCCCGAACACCGCGGGGAAGTCAAGCAACGTATCCTATCCTCTAGCAGGATCCACGATCACGTCTTCCGACCTTGCTCCTGCTGTAGCCCTCAATGAAACACTCACAGAGAGCTTCAAAGAAGCAGTCCAAGTTTGACCCGATGTCCTTATCTTGCAACCTCCAATGCAGCTTTGCACGAACCTCCCAGATCCACAATCGGCAGTTCAAGTCCATGTGCGAGGTTTTATCGTTCCGCCGGATTCGCGAAAGTGCTTGGCATGCTTGGTCTCTTAGAAACACCGAATCAAGTGCAGGACAGAACTAGTGTTTCTACTGCGACTCCAGCCTAGCTCCAGGGCCTCAATGTAGCAACGCTTTCAGCAGTAGGTGGGCTCAATGCATTGAAGCTAGAACCGAGCGAAAACTAAGAAATCTCTGCAATGTACACCGCTCTTTTGTGCGAAGCTGAAGCAAGATTTGGTTTGCAGCGACAATTCGTTGATGGTTGCAGCTGCACGTGTGCATAGCATAGTTTGCCGCGATGTTGTCTGTTCAGGCCTCCAAGCATTGCTTTACAGAGCTAGGCCCGGCTTTTACTTGCTTTATCGTGCATGGGAGAACTTCCTTTCAGCACTTGATGCGAGTTCGTTGATGGTTGCTGCTGCACGTGTGCATAGCATTGTTTGCTGCGATGTTGTCTGTTCAGGCCTCCAAGCATTGGGCTGCAGAGGCCTTGCTCTTGCTGTGCCGTACATACGAGAACTCTCTTTCATGTGCAGCCTCAAGAGCTCGTGGGGTTTGGCCTTGTGCGAGGGGTCAGCAGTTCATGCCATGCTGCTCTGAGTGATGACTGAGTGTTTCTATTGCCGAACATGCCGAAAGCCCTGAAGCAGGCTACTATGTGTCTGTTGTCTCTGCAAATCGTGAATGGCTTTTGCTGGCCATGGTCTGGACAATTCAAAGCATCTCCGGATTTCGATTCGCGATATAAATACCAACTGCACCGAAATTCTAAGCAATTCCGGGCTCCAAGTCGCGATATAAATAACGGGAGCAGTTTCAAAACTAAGCAATTGGGGGGGTGCATCCCACACCATTACGAACTTTTGTAAAACATTTTTTTCAAAGGATCGTCCTGGGCGACAACCGATTTCAAAGCAATTGGGGGGTCCGGATCGCAACCCCTGAATTGCTTTGAAATTGGTTGTCTCCTGGGACGAACTTTTGAAAAAATTTTTTTACAAAAGTTCGTGGGGGGTCCAGCTTTGATACTAGAGATGCTTGGAAATCGAACTTTTGTTTTTTTTATATCGCGAATTCTGCCCTGACCAACTTTTGTATTTTTTGGTCCCTGGGAGTGTCGGAGATCTTTTGAATTCTTGTGCTGCTCGAACTTTTGTATTTTTGGAGCGAGGAAGTGTCGGAGATCTTTTGAAATGTTCTGTTGTTGCTTCGTCTTGATTCGTCTTGGGTTCGGAGTTACAGACAACAGCTTGCAGCCTTTGGGCTTGTGTGAGGAGTGATCTGTGGCTTTGTGAAAGCACATAAGGCCAGGGCCATGTCTGAGTCGGCTGCGAGTGAGAACACAAAGTCCTTTCTCGAAGGGCTGGAGCCAGCAGGGGATGTGCTTCACGACACGTGGTGCGAGAGGATGACTGAGGCTATGGTGCAGATGAACACTCGCTACGGCGGGCCGGAGAGTTATCTTAGAGCCAGGTTTCAGGGTCGTGCCGACTATGTCGAGTGGCTGGAGTACCTGGTGCACCTCGTCCCCACGGATTGCAACCACTTCGAGTTTGATGCTGAGACGGGCGGGGTTAGCATGGACGGACTGGGTCAGGCAGGCTAGCGACTCCATGATAAGTATGTAGAATGCAGTGACACTGGCACAGACCCGGTTTTGCTGACTGACTGTTTCCGTGCAGGTGGTTCCCAAGATCTTCCACCTGGCATGCTTCAGCTATGCCAAAGAGTCTAGCATCAAAGGCCCCTCGGAGAATGACACTGTGCGGCTCATCTTCCAGGAGATCCTGAAAGACGGGTTTGTGACGGCTGGCGACCCAATCCTGCTTCTGTTGTCTGACCTGGCTGTGGAAAGCCTGGACGAGGCGACTTGTCTTGCACCGAGTCAGCATGAAGTACCCTACATACTTGAAGCACCGCTCCTGTCGAGGAGAAACTTGGCATTCCGTGGACAGCGGGTGTGGGCCGACCGATCCTTCGGCCGTTTTCCGTTGGGTACTACAAGGGAAAGACACGAGTCATGACCTTGATGGCTCTGCTGTCCATGGCCAGAGACTCGTCAATGGACAACTACCACGATGTCCATCCGAAGCTCCTCGAAACCTTGAGGTGCATGCATGGTCATGTTATCGCGGCAGCTTCGAAACGTGAGCAGATGCTTGGCAACTTCAAGTTGAGTGTGAGAGGGAGCATCAGAAAGGCTCCGAACATCATGAGCCTCGTCAGCACGGCAGTCAGCATCCATTCATGTCACACTGTCTGTTCTGTCGTTTGCTGCTGTGGCCCGATTATGCTGAGTACCTGGGTCACCACCATCCAGAAGTTGCGGGTTCACGAGCCAACCCTGGACGTTCAAGAGCTGGCCCCTTGCCTGCAACCCCGTCCGTATCGGCTGTTTCAGTTCTGATTCGCGAGAGGTTCTTGTCTGTGTCAACTTAGATCCGCGAGAACAACAACCGCAACTCCAAAGCTGGCCAGTTGCTGGCGAGCAAAGCAACAGCCGTGAAGAATATCATGGAGCTCTTCGACCCCTCGGCAGTGGATGCCATCGTGGACTACACAGTGGAAGTGGGCCACGAACACACCCCGTGGTCAGACGACAGCCTAAGCTCGAAGAAGACATTGCCAGGATTCCAGTGTATTGGCTGCAATTTCGCTAAATAGAAACTTCCAAAGCACACGGGTTGTTCTGCAAGCTGGCCTTGACGAGGTTCAAGTCGCAAGCCGGGCCTGTGTGGCAAGCCCGGGGAAAGGTCAGCAAGGAGAGCAACCGTGTCATGGCAACTCGGAAGCATGTGGCAGAAGACAAGAATTTCTCTCTGAGCCCCCGTGCCCAGTGCCAGGTGCTCCGGCAGATCAGTCTGTCAAGGGCTCTGCCGGAAGCCTTGCGGCGAAAAATGGATCGCCATCAAACGGAAGCTATAGCCGAGGAGGCAGCTTTCGTGACAACGATCGTTCGCGAGGTGAAGGCCCTCCTACCGATTTCCGACACTTTGCTCCAGGAAGAATGGACTAACAAATACATTAGCGGCGATTCGGGGGTGCTGCTGGAGGTTCAGAGTGCCATTCTTCAGCGAGGGTGTGCTACGTGCCGTGACTTGGGCACCATAAATGCCATCATGAGCCATCATGCAGAGAATGTGCCGGTCGTGTCGGGCGGGCCTGCCACACAGATGGCTCAGCTTGAGCAAGAGACCTTCGACTTGAAGCTGAAGCAGCTGCAGTACGACCTGCAGTGCTTGAGAGTGGCGAAAGCCAAAAGGGCGACATGGGAGAGCCAGGTGTACCATGCCAAGCTGGAGTTCAGGGTGGCTCGCTACCAGGAGTCTGCCAAGCATGCCAAGAACTTCATGGACCAATGCTGTAGCATCATTCACTACAACAAGCCGGAGACTTTGATTCACGGTATGCAGAATTTCCAGAAACACACATTGGAGAAGCATGCCCTGGATCTCAACTCGTCGGTGCATTGCTGCAAGGAGTTGTTTCAATTTAAATGTCTCGGTCTTACTGACTTCTAAATCGAGAACAAAGTCTTAGAACAAGTCGCTGAGGCCAGCACGGTCTTTCTGAACTGGAGTGCACCGTGCACCATCAAGAAGGGGGCCAGGTCGGCCCAGATTGCAGCCTCGCAGCATGTGCTTGCATGCTCCGACAAGAGCATCGGTCTGTTGCTGCAGCCGGAGTTCACCTACAAGAAGAATCAGCTTTGGATGTTGGAGAATTTTGCTATGAAAGACCTCGCTGCAGCAGGCATGTCCCTCGACAGGAGCTTCATTCTCATGTTCAAGGAGAAGGCGGGAAAATCTATGCCTAGAAGCAGATATCAAGAAAGTCGCAGCGGCTTTTGTGATTGCGAGTTAGAGTGCCCCAACCTATTGATTTGCAGGTGGATGCCCGAGACAACTTGCGGCCACTCAACTACAGAGGCCGCATCCTTGAGGGTGCGATCTCCAAGGTGGCTGCCAGAGATCATGTGTTCAAGAACTCGCCGATCCTCAGGGATGGTCGCACGGAAGTGGCGACCCAGGTGTCAGCCAAAGATCTCCTCGTCATCGAAACCGCCGACGACACGAACCCGGACAATTGCCTCAGCGAAGACGACCCGATCCAGGGCGGGAAGAAAGTCGAACAGATCGGCTGCAATGCTTGCGAGAAAATTCTGAATGGGATCCTCGACGGCATGCAGATCACTGGGCGGGCTTCCGTGTTCGTCATAGACCTGCATATGACTGTTGGCAACATGTTCGAAGCTTTCGTGAAGCTCCGGTCGAAGTTTAACTTCCCGATCTTCTACATTGGTGCTACCGACGATGAGGAGACCCTGGACTGGTTCAAGGAGCACAAGACCGAACCGAGGTGGCATTTCATGCTCCTGTAGATTTCTCTGCTTCAGAGATCGTTTCCGTATCTGAAGCTCAGGACTGGCTTGCCCGGCTGCTACTCAACAAGGACATCACCATCGCTGGCTACAGCCCCGGCTCGGACGAGATCCCAGCAGACCTGTTGGAGAAAGAGCCGGAGCTTCCTAGATTGAACTTGGTCACCCCAACGAAAGAGCTGTACCCGAAGATTCCGCCGAGCCTGGTGCAGGATCTTGTTGTGCATGCAGTGAACTCTGGCATGACCTTGGGTTTGCACATTCTTCTCACCCCAAGATGCCCCCCCTCCCGCGAGGAGTGGTCGACACATGCTGTTCACGGAGAGCAGTTTCGGAAATTCCTAGATTCCATCGTTGAGGAATTTGGTGCAGAGCCCACCGCTGACGAGGAGGTCTTGAATCCTTAGACCCTGGTGGAACTTCCCGGCTTAAGCCCCACACCCACAATCAATCCCAGACCCTTAGCAGGCCCAGAAGGAGGACAAGACCGGGGCCGATGCAGTGCCCAAAGCGGGAGCAGTTGCCAGCAAAAAGCGCCGGACCTCGTCGGGGCTGCCCACAAGCAACAAGCGACAGAAGGTGGAGAAATCCCTATCCATCGAAGAGTTGGGCAAGGGCAGCTTGTTGGTGGAAGTGCCTATGGTCAACTGCAAGAGCGGGTCTATGTCGCTCCACATCAAGATTGGCAACAAGCCGTACATCTTCAACAACGGAACAGGTGATGCTTCGCTCAAAGCCGGATTGATCCTCGCAGGCTACGGCAAGGCCAAGTTCAGGTTTGCCGGCGGCGAGAGCCCCGAAGGCGACCCGGAAAAGGAGGTGCAGTACAAGCTGACTGGACCTGATGACCTAGTGCTTGGACTCAATTGTGTATGTATGCATCTATGTGTATATGTATGTGTCATAGCGAACACCTTAGTGCATGGACACTTCTGCCACCCAGGTGCTGCACAACGGCCAGCTGCAAACCCTCGGCCAAGTCGTGGATGCACAGCGGTCCAAGGTGCCTGTCATCAAGATCGCCTATCACAAGCTGACTGACAGCCCCAAGGACGGAGTGCCCGGTTTCTTTACCGTCGAGAACACTCAGACGGTCTGGTACTCCCCCGTTTCGGGAGGAGCACCAGTCTCAGAAGCTGCTGAGGCTAAAGCTACCACAGCACAGACCACTGCTGCCCGCCTCCTTCCCAATGTTCATTGGGTGACCGATTGCTCAGCCATCGTGTTCTCCGTGAAGTGGTTGGCGAATGGACTTTTTCCTGTGAGAGCACAACCGGTTTTGATTGCAGACTGCGATCTAGGACCGGGCCGTGCACTCGAGCTGTGCCAGGCTACCGCGAAGTAGTTTTCAGGACAAGATGAGATGATCGATTTCTGTGGCTCCCTGCCACCTGCTTTTGGCCGCTGTCTGGCGAGCTTGGCAATGTCTTAGCATGTCTTGCGGGCATTGGTGTCTGTCCCAATATGGTGGCTGATGTTGAGAGTGTAAAACTGCTCTGCGAGTACCGTAGAAATGATTTCGCCACAGGTTGAGACAGGCATCCAATGAGACTCTTCATGAGGGGGACTGAAAGACACGTCGTCATGCTAGTAGGCATCCGGCAGCAGCGATCCCGATCTATCCTGTGACAGCAAAGACGGCCCTCAGGGCAGTTTAAGAGCGAAAACCGCAAGAGGAAAAGCGCCTGACATGCAGCATTCCTGACACTGCTCGCAAGCCTCCTTTTTCGCGAAAGTCTGCTGCTGCATTGGCACGTCATTTGCTCCACCCTTTGCAGGCGGTCACAACGAAAAGGCGGCCGTGGGCAAGTAGGCCAGCTTCCACACTTTCATGGCATAGGCTACAACTAGATCGTACACCCCAAGCCCTAACCCCTAAACCCTTAGACTCGTAGTAGCAACCTTACTTTAAGCCCACCGTCCTGGCAATGGAATTGCGAAACTTCTTGTTTCCTCGAATTACATGTGCAGCCTGAGCCATGTCCATGCGACCATACGACCGGTACACGGTCTCACTCTTAATCCTAGCATACTGCATCCCCACTTCGTCTGGTATTTGATGTAACTTCATCATATTGATGCAGGAATTCCTACAGGAGTGTGATCGCAGCTTAGAGTTCGGCAGACACAACAGACAACTTGCAGGATGAAACTGCTCTCTCACTCTGTTGATCGCCTTGATAACTGTGTCTTTCTGCCGATACGGGGTTTTGCTATCTGAGCGACTGGCAGGGAATAGCCAGCCCTCTGAACCATCATCCGGCCAAGACCAACGATCTTGCCAGGTTACTTGTCCACGACTTCCTTTTCGCTGTGCCCGCTTTCGGCTGAGGCCCTTCTTTTTGAGAGTTGCGAGAAGCTGAGCACATTCTGGTAGCAAAGGTTTTAGCACTTCCGGTTGACGTTTCAAGGGAGCCACCCGGATCACCCGCTTCTTGAGATCAATGTCGTCCTTGTGCAAGCGGCATGCTTCCGTCACTCTTAAGCACAGGCAGCTGGCCAACTTGAGTAGCACGTGCAGCCATGTAGGACCCATGTCCAATAGAAATGCCAGCCACTCCTGCAGCAGGCTGTGCGACAGAGTTGCTGCCTTGCCCAGCTTTCGGCCAGGCACTCGGGTTTTGGCCTTCACCTTTGGTTTTGCTCTTCGGACCATGACTCGGAGGGCACTCGGGTTGATGTTGAGCCAGATACAGTCAGACAAGCGGATCTAGACCCCCCACAGATCTAGATGATGGGAGTCCGCCTTTTGCCCCCAAAAGGCGGACTCCCCCACCAGGATTACTTTCCCAGTAGATAATGACTTTAGACCCCCAAAACCCCGCCAGAATTTCTTTAGGTCCGAATGACCTCCAGATCCACCCCCAGCAGAATAACTTTAGATCCAAGTTTCCACCTCTTGACAGTAAACCCGACAACCAGCACTACCCGAGAACCTAGCTCTACCGACCGTTTTGAAGGGCCCACACCCAGACAAACCCTAAATCCCTGTAACATAACAACAACAACCCAATACAATACGGTAGAGACGGCTTTTAGCCTAAGCATGGAATCGCAAGGCCGGTGCAGAGCCTCGTGCCGGAGACAGCAGAGGCGACCCGAATGCTATCTGGCATGGTCTGCTTCCGGGTTTGTCTGGGTGTCCTAAGTCCTATGTGGTATCACTTGACATCTGAGGCACTTCGTGTTGGGGTTAAGGTTGCTTGTCCCATCGTGCGACCCATGACTTCTCGTGTTTTGTTCATGGAAACAAGGGGCTTGGGGGTGCTAAGCCAAGGTTTATGAAACTGCTGATCGTGGAAAGACCCGTGCCTATCTAAACAATATCATTTAGTATGGCCTTCTGTTGGGATCATTGCCTCAGCTGTAGCTGTAGTCACTGTAGCCCTTGCATTTACGATCACTCTCATGCTCAGGGTAATACCCGACTTCAACCAAACCTGGTGTTCGGGAAACACGACTGGATTGGACTCGCTGGCTTCATGTTGACTGCAAGACCATGACTTCGCCGGGCAGGCCCAGGGCTCTGGTGATGTCGTTTCGGCATTGCTGCTGGGACCTCAGAATCTTCTGATTGCACTGCTGGGCGCCGGTGTTGCTGCAAGCCCTCGTCTGTGGCAGCTCTCAAGGAGGGCTCTCAAATCCTAAGCAGGGTGTTACAAGGCTACAAGGTCCTTGAAGGGAGGCCTCATGTACGAGAGAAAATAGAAGCGACAATACACTGTGTGGCTTGTTTCACTGCATCTATAAGCGACAACACATTGTATGACATGTTGCACTGCATTTAGAAGCCTAGTGCAGACTCGGCGATATGGACGGCCAGAAGGACAAGAGCCAGGATTGGAGCCAATCGTGGACTGAGAACTACTGGCAAGGCGATGGCAGCTGGTGGCAGAAAGGCACCTCGGAAGGTGGTAGCAGCTGGTCGCAGGATGGCACCTCGCAAGGTGATGGTGGCTGGTGGCAGGATGGCAGCTCGCAAAATGATTGCAGCTGGTGGCAGAATGATGGCACTGATGGTGCCGGGGCGGAAAGCACCGAGAAGACTGAGAAAGCCAAGGATGCCCCGTCCCGCCCCAACAACCCTGGGAGCAGCAAGTGGTCACAGTGGTTGAGCAACGAGGAGTACGAGACTGTGTTTCATCACCCCCGGGGTGAGCCGGAGAAAAAGCCGCCGGGCAAGAAGCACGATTTCAATCAGTTGCAACGTGTCTGTGCTTACCGAGTTCAGCAGGCGGAGGATGCGAAAGCTGAGCTTGCACAGGCTTATAAAGAACTCGAAGCACAGAAACTCGCAGGCGACATGGAGATCGCTGAGCTCTGGACCAAGAAGGCCGAAGCCGAATCGCAGGCCTCGAGCGCTCTGGGCAAGCTTCAAAGCTCCCAAGCTTACGAGATGCACCTGTTGGTACTTCTAAACTGCAAGAATGCCCTGGTGAATGACATCGTCAAGCTGAATGGTATGTCCCAGCAGCATGTTGAGAGGCTATATGAGGAGAACATGGGTTTGGGCTTCCAGCTGGAGACCCTGGACGATGAGATCGAAGTCCTCGAAGGCAAGAACAGTGGCCTGGAGAAGCTGGTGGAGAGGCTCAAAGAGGAAAAGGCTGAGCTCCAGGAGATGGTGGGTAGCCTACGAACACAGACGTCGGGCCTTCAAGAGAAGCTCAACTCGTACAATGAGGGCCTCAGAAGATATCGGGGCCAGTTGGAAAAGGCGAATCTGGAAACGAAGATCTTCGAGGACTGAGCTCTTCTTCCGTAATGCTTGATTGGCTCAGTTCTTGCAGTATTTTTATTACAGCATCAATTCGGTGTCTCATGCAGGATTTGGGCCCGGCTCCATCGAAGAAGCTCAAGACCAAAGATGAGGACTCGAAGCCATGATTCTGTCAGAACTTAATCCAGTAACAAGGGTTCACAGTTTACCAATTCTTCAGTTTACAAAGATTTTAAACATGGTGGTCCATTGCTGCAGGAGGCCTCACACCCAACAACACCGGCATCACCTTCATCAGGGAGCAGCTGAGGATGGGCTACTAGTAGCTAGGGCCGGCCCGGCTTGTGGTGTGCAATGGCAAGGATGGTTTCAACACTACATCCCAACACTTTCTACAAGCTTATCCAGTCATAGGGTTTGAACAAGGCACACGGCCAATGGCTTTTGCTTCCGCCCGACCTCTAGAGTTTTGGCCTAGTCGGCCAAAAGCTTGAAAAAAGGAAGAACAATCCCATCTTGCACTGACTTACTGTGTGCCTGCATTGAATTGGCCTCTTAGTATAGATTTGCCAGCAACCGATCACATGCTGAGGCGGTGGCCGCTTCGCGACTTTCGTCTTGATCACTCCAGACCTCATTGCAAGGCGCTCAGACTCTCGTGATCACGGACGGGGTTGGTCCCAATTCAGAGTTCGGCCTGATGTTTCATTTGACCTCGACCCCTATGCAGGGTCTGATTTCTGACCCCTGTTCAGGGTCCGGCTTCTGATTTCTGACCCCTGTTCAGGGTTCGGCTGCATTCTGACCCCTGTTCAGGGTCCGGCTTCACTCTGACCCAACACTCTGACCCCTGTTCAGGGTCTGGCTCTTCTTCTGACCCCCGTTCAGGGTCTGGCCCTTAGTCTTCTGACCCCTGTACGGGGTCCGGCTTCCGCTGATGTCTAAACCCCTATGCAGGGTCCGCTGCTGGATGAAGGCCCCTGTGCAGGGCCCGGCTTGCAGCCTCAGTCCGTTGGCCTTTAGATACCTAACAGATGAATTTAAAATACTTGCAGTTGCCCCTGGCAAAAGCCATTACTAGAATATATATATATATATATATATAATATGTATATATATAATATAATATATATAATATATAACCCCCTAAACTGATGTGTATATATATTTTTGCAGATACACATATATATATATATATATATATGTATACATAAATGCACAGTAATATATATATATATATATATATATATATATAAGGGTTTTTTAGGGTTTGGGTAACAGATTAAACCCTGTTCGGCTACTTCTATTTGCTTTAGTTACTATGTATTTGTCTTACAGGAGCCCTGATTCCCTGTCCCTGGCAGAGCAGATGCCTTGGCAGGCCGTCGGCCTTCGATAGCTTATGGGCCTGAGGGGTGTGAAAGGGGGTTATGGTGTGACATGATACATACACCGTGTCTTTGGGACCCACACACCGCACACACACACACACACACACACACACACACACACACACACACTCTTATTCGCATGTCATGAAGATTTGGTTGCTACAGTTTCCTACACAATATCTTATCGATTTAAGTTAGTAGGTTTTATGAATGGTTTGTTTCCGATGCTCGACACAATCCTGAATTGAAATGCATAAAACAGGGGAAAACACACCAGTTTTGAAGTCTTCGCAATCAAATCCAGGCCAAAGTTTTCCGCAGCAGTCGAAACATACCAAGTTTTGAACCATCGTTTCGTAATCTTCAACGACCACCACGAAACCCAAATCGAAAACACGATTCAAATCATGCTGTTTCAACAGAACTACCAAAGCACCAGTTTTGAAACCCATTTGTAAAAAAACGAAGCCGAGATACAAAAAAAATTCCTTAACTATGCGGGCATGGCGGACAGTGTCGAATGCCTCCGCGCCCTTCGCGCCGCGGGCGCTCGTCGGGAAGCCGCGAGCATTCTTGGACACACCTGCCTGGAGGTGGCGGCGGGTATGCATTCGCTGCTCTGTGTGGAGGAGCTGGCACCGCATGCAAGCACCGCAGAGCTCAACAGAGCACTTGGCTTTGCCGCAATGCGAGGTGGCTCAGTGGAGCTGGTCCAGCACTTGATTTCCAACCAAGCCGATGTGAACTGCCAATACGACTTGACGTGTGAACTGAACCGTTTGGGTAGGTTTGTTATTCGAGCCGCAGCTTTGGCACACCGTTTCGGCAAAGTCACAGCTTTGTCGACCGTGTCTTATCATTTACACGGCAGCACACCATTGATGCATGCCGTGCGGATGGCTAACTACGAGGCCGCGGCGGCCCAAATTGCAAACGGCGCAAGGTTAGATCTCCGCGACCCCCACGGCTTTAGCGCGGCCGATTTTGCGAAAGGCCAATCCATTCAGCACTTTTTGCAGAAGGGTTTGGATGGAGACCCATCGGAATGTGAACGAGTGATCTCCCTCGCATTCCAGAACGGAATGATCGAGGTTGCGTTTTGAAAACTTGTGAGTGCTATGGGTTCGTTCGAAGTTCGTACGGGTCGTCATGAGCTGCCAGTAATTTTCGCATGTCTCCCGAAAGAAGGCGATTGCGAGTCTAGGACTTTCTCAGCAAAGCTGGCTCCAGCAGGACGGAACAATACGGCAATGACGGCCCGTTATCTTGAAAACGTGTGTGTGTGTGTGTGTGTTCCTCTTCACTTGTTCTGGCTTTAGGAAAGATAGTCCGCGCGGTGCTGAGTCGAGCTCATGTCCTGCTGCACGTTGGGGAGGCCCCCAACCGCACTGGAGCTACATGCCAAATCCCTGCCTGAAGACAATGGCGTGGCTCAGCATAAAGCTAAACCCGAAACCCCAGACAGGGTTGTTTTAAATGTTTTTGGCTACTTAGAGTTCTTTTCTGATGCTGATCACCCACTTCAATCTATATGAAAACAAGCCCAACCCTGCAATGCTCTGGATTTCTCGTCCCAGCGGTGCGAAGTGCAGCTGCCGACCCCTCCTCCGCCCCAACCCTGCACCAAACTCAGATTAGCAGGGTTTAGGTTCTGTGTGTAGGGGTTTAGGGTTTACTTGGAGGTTCAGGGGTAGTTATAAGTAGGGTTATAAGTCCCCTAATATGGGTTATAAGTGTAGTTCCCCTATTATAACCCTACTTAGAACTACTCCTGAACCTCCAAGTAGGGGAGACCTTCAGAAGCTTTGGGGCGGTTTCGAGCCTTAGGGACAGGCTGTGGTCCTGTGGTCCATAGAAGCTCTTGCAGGGTGAGCGTGCGTGTTGTGCTGCGGCCACGTGTGAAGTGCAGCTCAGGCCAAGAGGATCTTTCCAATGTACACGGTTGCCGTTGAGACGTTATTGCAGATGACAGCTGTTGAACCGCACGAAGCGCTGAAGGCGGGCACATTCTACTTCGAAGACTTAGAGAAGCCAGGCAGTTTCTCGAACTTCACGGGAAGCCTCCGTACTTGGCCCGAAAACTCAGACTTTAAGTACTGAGTCTGTAGTCAGAAGCACTTGAACTTGTCGGCTTCCTGTGTACTGATAGCACAAAAGAAGTTTGGATTTCGGCTTCGTTTCAATCGACAACACAGAGTAGGCAAGACATGCAGACTGTGGGCCCTCACATCTGCACAGAATGCCTATACTATAGGGGCCTTGACAATTAACTATACTATTTTCCTTTTTTGGAGGGGGGGGATGCTTACTCTAAGTATGGTATAATGGGCCCCCTATCCCAAAAAAATAAGACCCCTGTATTACTTAGCGGCTTAGGGTAAACCCTCCCCTCAACCCTTTCTTTCCCAGCAGCGGGTAGCTTTGGTCCATGGAATATTAGGTCTATGGGCAGTTTGAATCGGCCGGGCAGGCGCGCGGTCAGCTGGTTGAGTTTGAATACGGCTCCGATCAAACCGCGAGCTTTGTCTCGCACCAGTGGATGACCCAGCATCACCCGGATCCCGAGTGCGAACAGCTGAAAATTTTGCAGGGTGCCTTCGCGCATCTCTTGGGCACTGGCGGCAGCGTGCCTGTGGACTTTGTTACCGAGGCTTTTGTGCCCAGTGCAAAACGGATTCCGAAGAGCGCATTTCAGACCTCTTTGCTAGTTGTGTGGTATGACTACTTTTCTGTCCCACAGCGGGAGAACCGCCCCACCTTTGGTGCCGACGACATGGACGGCAGCCAGCAGGCGAGAGCTATCAACTGCATCCCGGCATATGTGGCAAGGCAGGGTTCTGGTTATAAGGGATTTAACTCAAGGTACCATAATAATGAGATATAGCTCCCTATTATGGTAACTTAAGTTGAGTTCCTTAAGCCCTAAACCCTCATAGAACTCTTAAAGGAAACCCTTATAGCTCCCTTAAAGGAACCCTTGTAGGATGCCTATTCTGGTAACAACAACCCAGCAGGTGCAAGCATTTTCTTGCACTTTGCCCAACACTCAAGTCGGACTCGAAAGTGCTCGGTGCGATGACGTGGTCCCAGAGGCTTGCCTGGCGTTTTTAATGTGGTCCTACCTGGACCTTATAAGAAACCTACGTTGTTAGGCTCCCGTAATATGATTTCCTTATGTAAATCCTTCAAAAAACGTCGGTTATTTGGGGCCCTGACCTTAAGCTAACTTGCAGCTATGGGGTTTTGACCCTAAGCTAACTTGCAGCTATGGGGTTTGTAGGGTTTAGGCCCATAAACCCTATAGATCCCAGACCCTGTAATTCAACTTTTCGCTTATACACATCTAGAGCTACCCCGAACCCGGCAGACTCCTCATTCTGGTTTATTCGGTGGACCCTTTTAGGGCTTACGGCTTAGGATGTTAAGTTGAACGTTCCTTGGGGTGCTACAGCTAAGGAGGGGCTGGTGCCGGGTGGAAAGAGCAGCACGCGAGCTGTCTCCAGACAGCACCTGGATTCTGATTCAGAGTAGCAGCTGCCTTGTCGTAGTGGGCGGAACGACTTCCTTTCCAACAGGTCCAGTCGGAGAAGGCAACTTTTCGAACGAAGAAGATCGCCAGAAATTGGCACCAGTGATGCGGGATATTGTAATGCGAAAGATGATGCACTGCCTGAAGAAGTCGGACTTTCCCGGCTTCCGGCGCCAGCTCAACTTGCAGAGTGTTCACTTTCGGGGCTTGGAGGTCCAGCCCATTGACGGCCTCCTCGATATCGACAATGATGTCGATGCAGTGTCACAATTCCTCTTCCAGAACGGCCTCAGGAATGTCCAAAAACCTGACACAGCAGGCTGGTGGCCGTTGCACTATGCAGCACTGTCCGGCAAGACTGAAGTTATCCGAGGGCTCTTGCGGCTCCGGGCATCCGTCAACGAACGGACTTCCAAACCTGAGCCTGACGCGGGCATTCCGCCATGGATGTCCGCGCTAGATCTGGCCGTGCTTTACGCGCACCACGATGCAACTCTCGCTCTGATCTCCGCTGGCGCCGAAATGGAAGGCGGCGTAGGTCCAGCCCAGAACTATGCGGGCATGGCGGACAGTGTCGAATGCCTCCGCGCCCTTCGCGCCGCGGGCGCTCGTCGGGAAGCCGCGAGCATTCTTGGACACACCTGCCTGGAGGTGGCGGCGGGTATGCATTCGCTGCTCTGTGTGGAGGAGCTGGCACCGCATGCAAGCACCGCAGAGCTCAACAGAGCACTTGGCTTTGCCGCAATGCGAGGTGGCTCAGTGGAGCTGGTCCAGCACTTGATTTCCAACCAAGCCGATGTGAACTGCCAATACGACTTGGCGTGTGAACTGAACCGTTTCGGTAGGTTTGTTGTTCGAGCCGCAGCTTTGGCACATCGTTTCGGCAAAGTCACAGCTTTGTCGACCGTGTCTTATCATATACACGGCAGCACACCATTGATGCATGCCGTGCGGATGGCTAACTACGAGGCCGCGGTGGCCCTAATTGCAAACGGCGCAAGGTTAGATCTCCGCGACTCCCACGGCTTTAGCGCGGCCGATTTTGCAAAAGGCCAATCCATTCCGCACTTTTTGCAGAAGGGTTTGGATGGAGACCCATCGGAATGTGAACGAGTGATCTCCCTCGCATTCCAGAATGGAATGATCGAGGTTGCCTTTTGAAAACTTGTGAGTGCTATGGGTTCGTTCGAAGTTTGCACGGGCCGTCATGAGCCGATAATTTTCGCATGCCTCCTGAAAGAAGGCGATTGCAAGTCTAGGATTTTCTCAGCAACTCTGGCTCCAGCAGGACGGAACAACGACAATGACGGCAGCAGGAGCAAAAACGCCGCTATATGACTTTACTGTGCATTTGGGTCCTGTCATCACAGCGTCGGAGGCCCTCATATAAACACAGACGGCTGATGGCTTCTGCTACGCATTCCAGGCAGCTAGACTTAAGGAGATGCCCAACAGAGCCAAGAAAGCAACTCACCTCGTCCTCGCGATGCAGCAATGGCACGGCTGCCGAAGCAGTTTAGCACGCCGACACGGCTTCCACTGAGACAATTGCCTAAACCCTGTTGTTACTAAGTCCCCATATCAAGATCCTAACCCCAAACCCGCAACCCTACACCCTAAGCCCTCAACCCTGTACTACGCTAAATTCTTCGAAAGCCACTGGTAGGGCTTTAAATTTATTGGCCTGATATCTTTGGTCTACCTATTTAGTTTGACATTTTGGGGGGGCCGGACTATTGAAAAAGAGAGTACTAGGATCCTCGGTCCTTTGCGAAAGGGAGCACCGGCCACCGGCCGCGACGAGACCGGCTGGGCACCTTTGCACTACAGCAGGGGACCCAGGGTTCCCCGGGGTCAGGATGAAGGGTTTAGGGTTTATATAGGGTTTAGGTTAGGATTTATATAGGGTTTAGGATTTATAAAGGGTTCAGGATTTATACAGGGTTTAGGATTTAGGGGTTAGGATTTAGGGTTTAGAGTTTCGGGTTTAGGGTTTGGAGTTTAGGGTTTCCTGAGGTTGGCATGAAGGGTTTAGGCCCAAAGGGTCCTATGTACTGTTATGGGGGATACTTCCCCAAATCATAATACTAATCCCCAATATAGAAACCCTACATTCTACTATTAAGGTACTTTGGGAGGGTTTAGGAACCCTAATCCCAAACCTGTTTAGGGTTTAAGGTTCAAGGTTTTGGAACCATCAACCTTTTCCCCTAACTAGACAGGTGGGTTTCGGGTTCAGGGTTTAAGGTTTAGGAACCCTACTCCCTAACCTGTTTAGGGTTCAGGGTTTAGGCACCATAAAAACTCAACATCCCTAAACCCTAACTAAACAGGTAGGTGTAGGGTTCAGGAACCCTAGACCCTAACGTAAACCCTAAAAGCTAGGTTGCTTCGGGTTCAGGTAGGGTTTAGGGACCCGGGATGCAGGAGGGACCCGGGATTCGAGCGGGGTGAGTATCGGGGTTTAGGGTTTTGGAATGTGTGCGTGTGTAGACTCGTCCTTAGCCTGTGAAGGATCTGTGGGTGTCGGGGTTTCGGGTTTTGTAGTTTGGTGGTTTAACGAAGTAAGAGTCCTAGTCCCAGCCCCGCAGCCTTGTAGATGTATCTGCAGTTGTCCATGCAAGAAGCCCTGTGTGAGAAATGTGAGGCCAAGCCTTAAAGCTCCTAGACCCTAAACCCGATATGGGTATTTCTCTAAATAAGGGTACCTTTTAAGGTCACTTTTGTAAGGCTGCCGTACCATTTTGGGTACCTCAAAATCGTCTCTAACTTAGAGAACTACCCATGCAGACCCTCCACCTGAATGAGCCCTTTGACCTTCGACTCTGAAACCCATTCCCAGAGACTCCAATATCACTGAATTTTGGAATATTCTTTGAATCATATTAGGGATCCTACTAGAATTTAAGGTATTTTCCTTATTTCCCTTATAGAACCCTTATAGATCCCTTTAAGGAGCCCTTTGAGGCATGTTCCTTAATCAAGTGATATAGTCGTCTCTGGGTTCCGTCTTGCTTTAGCAACCCTCCACTTCAGGACTCGAAGCTTTGGGGTTTGGAGTTTGGTGGGGGTTGCGGGTTAGCCTACACTAAAACTCCCCAAAGGGTCCAAAGTACCTTTATAGTAGAATGTCGGGTTTCTATATTAGGAATTTCTATTATGATATGGGGAAGTATCCACCATAACTGTACCTAGGACACTTTGGGCTCATAAACCCCTACACCATCAAGCCTATAGCTCCCATTCCTGCTTCGATGTGCCGTACTTTGGCTCTTTGCCGAGCCTTGCTGTGTTGAGCCTGCAGCTTCACGAAACCTTTTGCACCAAACCCTACATCCCAAACCCTAAACCATCCTACCTATAGTCTCCATTGTAGTTCCTTTTTTTTGGTTAACCAGTTTATGGTTAGGATCCTATAATAGAGATTTTGGTTAACCAACAAAAGGAACTACAATGGAGACTATAGGTAAACCCGAAGCCCCAAATCCTGAACTCCAGACACTATACCATAGGGTCCCCTTTAAAGGGTACTATAGGATTCTGTAGGGGTTTTGGGGTTTAGGGGTTGAGGGTTTTGGGGTTAGGGTTTAGGATATACCATCCCCAACCCGAAGCCCCATATCCTAAACCCCCTGGGTTGGGTTTAACACGAGTGAAAACACAAAGCTCTAAACCCATAAGCCTTATAAGCCTCAGCATTCCGAAGCATTCCGAAACAAATCGGCCCCCTGGAGTAGGATAGGGTTTAGGGGTTTAGGATTGAGGGTTTAGGGATTTAGGGTTTCGGGTTTAGGATTGAGAGTTTAGGGATTGAGGGTTTAAGGTCTTCGTTTAAGACCAGGCGGGTAGGTATTTGGGCAAGCATACCTCAACCCAAACCCCCTAAAGCCTAATCTTTTTCCGTAGTTCAGAGTTTACGGCTTTAAATAAGATGAAACCTAGGTTCGTGAGTGGTACCCTTTTGCCTTTGTTGTTCTAGAGCATCGTTATTAAAACTGAACATTAGCAAAGAGGGTACCTGTATTACAAAGGGGCTACTCAGGAACCTATAGTACACCCCAAAACCCTGAACTTCGAGGCCTGCTGGTTCCTCCCCATCACCGCAAGCCTATTTGAAGTTCCGGGTCCATGGAACCTTAAAATCCCTAATTAAACCTGAATGACCCTGCCTATAGACCTCAAAGCCACCCTACACCCCAACCCTGAAACCCTTAAACCTTCATAACTTCATTAGTTAATAACCCTAAACCTTAAATCCACCCTAAATGCTAAACCCGCACCGTCGAGGCCAGAAGCCTTCGAAACCTGCTGAAACCACATGGGTGGTTGTCAAAACTAGTGTCCCTTTTTGGTACCCTGAATATTAGGTGCCTTGTTATACTAGGTACCCAAAAGGGGACCATAATTTTGACAACCACCCATATATTGCCTAAATCCCGAAAGCCGGTGTGCCCGGGTTGGCCCCTGGAATGCTGCGGGTTACCAGCCTGGCGGGAGAAGCGTCTCGACTCGCTCGAAATGGGGGGGGGTGTTTAGGGTCTAGGGTTTAGGATTTAGGGGTGTATGGCGGTACGTGGGCCGGGGGGTGCGGGACAAAGCTTTGCAAGGTTCATTCATAAGTGTTCATTTTCGGAGTTTCTTTCAAATGGGGTTGCCTTATCTACAGGTCCTTCTCATCAGGACTCTTTGACGTCCGGTTTGTAGCACCGCCTTGACCCCAACTGGCTGAGTAGGTGACCTTTATCGGTGTCGGGTTTGCATATATTCCCTTTTCCGAAGGGCACCCTCTTTACAGACAGAGAAGATAGCAAAGGTAAAACAAACCTAATCCTACTCCGCTAAATCGTCAACCCCTTAAAAAAACAAAACCCTAAACCGGGACGAACCACTCAAGATTACTCTCCATCGTGTTGCTTTTTGTTTTCAATCATTCTAGTTTCGATTATCAAAGATTCTACCCCTAAGGGACCAAAGGACCCAATAATTAGGTACTCGGGTTTGGGATAGTAGTTCTGTACGTTACTAAGTTTGAGAGTATATGCCAATTGGGTACTTGGACCCTTAGGGTACCATTGTGGAATTAGGCCCTCGAAAGACCTTGCGAATCATGGCTTGGGGGGGCTTAATTCCATAATAGCATTGTATGTGGACCCTCCTGGTACTAGTCCAGGTGAACATGGTCATGTTGTTCCTTAGACGTGTGACTATGATTCTGGGTATGAGCTGGTTATACTTTTTATTTGTGCTGATGGCTGTACCATTCCATGCTGCCCTGCCTCTTTGTGCAGCGGTCTAAACTATGGATGCAGACCCAACTACATGTGGGTGCCTTAGTGCAGACTTGATCATTCGCAGTTCTGAACCTGAAGCCCACAAAAGCCGCGTTGTTAAAGATGGATCCTCTTGGTTAGTTGCCTGTTATAGAGATTTTCCTCGTTGAACCCTAGACCTATTTAAACCCCAAGCCCTAAGATCTAAAACCCTAAACCTTGGCGCTTGACCCTACAAGCCCTAAACCTTAGCTCTTATCCTTAAGCCGAACCTCCTCACATCGGAACCCTGAAACCCTAAACCTTGACCGAACGCCATACGCGTTTAGGAAGTCATCGTCATCGACCCAGCCTCCTTGGCTGAGTCAGCAGATCTTGCCGGTGACGTTGCAGGTCGGACGGCGAGTGAGGAGGGTTGGGGGGGGTTATTCCGATAATGATAAGTGTGCACGCAATAGGGCAAGGATCATATTCGGTTTCCCAGGGTTTTCGCAAGTGTGTAAAGGTGGCTTGCAGGAAGTATGGTTTGCGTTAGGGGCTTCATTGGTGAGTACATTGGCCTTGTCTTGTCAGTTAGTGCAGACTCGGGGTCCTTTGGAGGAGTCTTATATTAAAGAGATCTACCTCATGTACTCCTTGGGATGACATATGGGCGATGTCCATGCTGACTCTGAACGTGTTCATCTAAGTATTGTCCTGATCGAGTCAGTAAGCATGTAACCTATGGCAAATACTGTTGCTGGACAAAATCCTGCATTACTCTTTATAAGGAATAGACCATAGTTCCATTGTTTAGAGTCCTTAGGGTCATGCAGGATTTCGTCCATCAGCAGTACACCCTGAACCGACAGCCACGCTGCTGGGCGGCTTGGAGCCTCAGGCGCTGCATGC